CAAGATTCTTTGATAATCATTATGATGAAGATCATTTTGGAATGGCAAAATTTAAACTAATAATCTTAATCTTTCAAGAAGCATATGCCTAATACACGACATATAATCATGGGGAGAAGCGCTTACGGCTCCAACTGAGAAGCTATAGCATGCTGAAAAAAAAGTAGTGTGCGTTTAATACTTTCAGAGCGTGGAGCACCTTTTAACGCAATTACAAATTTCTATTTACCAATTTCCAAATGTATTTGTCTGTGAAATCGTGTACTTCTGTCTTCCGCTCTGAAGAGATTCGCGATTAAAAATGTTCATTTAGCAAATGGATCTTTGTCAGTTGTGTGTGTGTGCGTGTGTGTGTGCGTGTGTGTGTGCGTGTGTGTGTGTATGTGTGTGTGTAACCTAAGAAGTGATATCACTAATTAAAAGGCGAAATCAGAAATCCCACGAAACTATTTATTTACGTTTTTTTTAGTAAGAAGATGATGGCGGCTTAACATAATGCAATTTTTCTCTCAAATGAATTGCAAACGGTAATTTGAACAGATTTTTTATCCCCTGACCAGCGCCAAATATTGACTCAATCGAACCAAGATCAATCCTTTGGTCTGGTGTTCTGGATTTGGGGTTCTCGTACGGAAACTTTATTTCAACAACGATGGCTCTAGGAGTAATTTTCAATGGGGAAAAATGACCAGAAAAGCGAATTGGCAAAGTTCTCAATAAAATAAAAGGAAGAAAAGAAACAGGGTAATTTACTAATGACATAAATAATCAAGAGTGGTCACGCATTATTTTGTTACTCTCCTCTTAGAGAGAGATATTTCTGTTTACTGGGACTATAAAAGGACACTATACGCGAACCTTGTATTCTCAGTTAAATAAAATTTTCTTAAACCCTACACCTGCTTACTTTTGTCATTACAACTGAAGTAAGATTGGTGTTAACAGGTAAAAAGGGATATAGTCAAGTGACTGTAGAGTTCTAAAACTTTCATATCCTATACACATTCAAAGGACGATAGTGACGGGCAGGGTTCTTTTTAAGTTATTGCTACAATAATCAAGATATAAAATACCTAAATATATGTTTTTTGACTTTATTTAAATTATTCGGACTATTTCCCTCATCTTTGTCGCCATATTTATTACAACGTTTTGGCTGTTATATGCTCCAGCTTTCTTCAGGTGGTCCGAATGTCGAACTGAACTTTTATTATTTCGCTCACTGGGGTAGACTGTTCTAGTTCCAAGTGCCATGTTTAATGGTTGTCAGTTATCAGTTATTTCCTGTTAATTTTTCTCTTTTCACTGCCTTAACCGAGTATTGAACTCACACTCTTTGGGTACTGTCACTGGATTTCACTAACTCCTTTATCCACTGTGCCATGAGTCCTTGAGGATATCCATTAAACATGGCACGTTGAACTAGAACAGTCTACAACTGTGAGCGAAATAATAAAGGCTTCAGTTTGACATTCCAACCAACTGAGGAAGACCGGATGGTACAACGGCCGAAACGTTGTAATAAATATGGCGACAATAATGAGGACAATAGTCTGAATAATGTAAATAGTGTACATAATACATCGTATCAGAAGTAAAGACAGATACTGAAGGGCTGAAACGTTGTAATAAATATAGCGACATAGATGAGGACAATAGTCCGAATAATGTAAGTAGTGTACATAATACCTCATCTCAGAAATACAGACAGATACTGAACGGCCGAAACGTTGTAATAAGTATGGCGACAAAGATGAGGACAATAGTCTGAATAATGTAAATACTGTATATAATATCCCATCTCAGAAATATAGAGAGGATACTGAAGGGCTGAAACCTTGCAATACATATGGCGACAAAGATGAGGACAATAATCCGAATAATGTAAATAATGTACATAATACCTCATCTCAGAAATATAGACAGATGTTCTTTGACTGTTTACTTCTTGAATGTGTTTCAGCTGATTATGCTCCTCGACAGCTTCCTATACATCTAAGCAAATTTCACCATACCTATTACCACGGTAGAGTAACAGATAACGGCTCGGTTAAGGGACATTCGTTCCCTGGGAGAAAGTTACAAGTATTCTTTTTCATTTGTTCGCTGGTTTTTTGATTATTTTTCTATTGTTTATTTTTTTTCCATTTGTGATTTTTATTGTGTTTTAGTCGCTTATCTCATGGAGAGTGATTGAGGGAGAGACGGACAATATTTGTATGCGTTTCTATTTTTCATACGCTTCGTTTTCCATTTCCGGCTGACATTTTGTGATTTGTATGTGAGTCCTGACAACAGTCCGCTAACTTTTAGGGATGTTTCATAATGATGCGTAATTTAGAATATATATATATATATATATATATATATATATATATATATATATATATATATACATATTATTCATAATAATAATATATTGCTTTTCTTCAGCGGAATTTTACTACATCTTTTGATTCTCCCATTTATCTATCTCTCTCTCTCTCTCTCTATATATATATATATATATATATATATATATATATGTAAAAAGAAAAATACGTATATATGTATGTGCGCATATATATATACATACATATTTATATACACACACACACACACACACACACATATATATATATATGCATATATGTATTTATACCCACATTTACGTATATACATATATATATACATATATGTATATATATATATATTTATATATATATATATATACATATCTGTATATATATATATATATATATGAATGCACATATATATATGAATGTATATGAATGTACCTATATATATATATATATATATATATATATATATATATATATATATATATATATATATAATAAAGACATTCATTTCTGTATTTTCCTGTTACCAGCAAGTAGAATTTTTTCCCGATGATGGCCATGTTGGCGGAGACTAGTCGAGAATCTAAATGAAATAATAATAAAAACGAAAGTAGATTAACATACAACACTGTGTGTCTGAAGATTTTAACTTTTTAATAATCTTTATTGTTCAAGTATATATATATATATATATATATATATATATATAACTGAATCAAGAAACCTTTCAGATCCTCATACTTCGAAACTGATGGGAGAGTCCATTATATATATATATATATATATATGTGTGTGTGTGTGTGTGTGTGTGTGTGTGTGTGCGTGTGCCGATTGCAAACTATAACAAAATTACGCAGTAACACGGACATCTCATTTAAACAGAAATATTTACCAAAATTACACAAGAATTTATTCAATATAGACCTCCAGACAACTTCGTAATCTCCTGCAACTCTTCTGCGTGGTCTCCATGTTTAAGATGGTGAATGCGGCTACAGTCCTTGCCTTCATTTTATCTTTTGCGTTAATAGTAGTTTTGTTGGTCTCTTGCTCAAGTTCGTCCTACACGCAACAATAAAGGTGGTTGTAGTCTGTAGAGTTAGGTAGCTACTCTAAGAAGTGATGTGGTCGCAAAAATTGTCTGAAATCCATGACTTGGTTCTCCTGCTTGTGTGCCATGATTCATAGTCCCGTTCCAAGACATAAATTCTTCCAGCAGCCACTCTTGATCCAGGGCAGCACTATGGCGCTTAATTTAGGCATTCATGTTGAATCTGAGGCCATGTTGGAAGATGAATAAATCCATAATATCGTCATCACTAGTTATCACGCCAAACACCTTCCTAATCAACATTAGACTAATCTAACAGTTTCCGGATCCTCTGTGTTGTCCTCAGATTGACACACAAACGCTTTCTTCATATTGGAGCTTCCAGCGTGAATGCCAAGCTGTACAGCATGGCGTTTCCAAATTTCTGGCGGCGTGAATTACGTCATGGTGCTCTTTTTCTCAAAGACAGTGGTCAACTGACCCTACTATATCGGGCAGTCGACAAAATAAAAAAAAACAAAAAAACAACGCGCATGCGCAAAATTATGCCCAATATATATATATAGTGTTAAGTTATATAGAATATAGTCTTAAGGCATCACAGATTTTTAGGGACGCTATATTTATATGTAAATGCGAGAGTCTTTTTATTGCATGAATGCCATCTCTGCACCAATTTCCCTCTGTTGTTCTAGGAAATTGCTTTATAAAAGAAAACATGACCCGAAGATTTATGATTACCGGCCTTCGTGTTGGAGAGTCTTAATAAAGAAATGTATACTCTCAGAGGCGAATATATGTCAGATTCTAGTTCAATCGCACTTAATTTAAAGAAACATTCCTGCCCACATTCACCATTTAGAGAAATATTAATCGACAATACAAGTATACTCCACCATGAAAAAAAAAAAATAAAATAAAACCTAAATTCTGGAAGCCCTTTCTATAAGAAATTATAACAAAATATAATTAATTTTGAATATAATAACAAAGTTATAAATTTTTTTATGAAAAAGATTTTAAATTACTAAATTGTAACAAAATGTTTTAAAATATGTTATTACAATTTTTAATAAAGATTTTTACAATATAAATTAAGTTACCTCCCTTACATCGCGATATTTTTTTTAATTACGTGTTTTAAACATTTTGTTACAAGTGTAGTTTTTTTAACAATTACAATTTATATATTTTAAAACATCGTTCAGGTCAATTTTGAACCAAAACTAATTAATCTGTGAATTTGAGAGGATTAAAATAAAATAGAGATGTCTAGATTATTCAACCAAACATGCTTGAATGAAGATATACTACACACACATATATATATATATATATATATATATATATATATATATATATATATATATATATATATATTGATTAATTGATTTTGTCGTGCATTAAGTTAATTAAGCACCGTCTATTTTAAGAGTAAAAATCTTGTGACTTTATTTGTTGGATTACTTTAGACAAATCAATAAATTAAATCGAGCTGAGATCAATTGAATTAAACAAAACTATAGCAACGTAAGTAGCTTGTCCGAGTTTTATTTGTGTTTACGTAAGTGTCGAACGTCAACCGTTGATTGACAGTTAGAAAGCCG